GATGGTGCTTGGTCCACTTGGTCGGAGTGGTACAATTGCAAGAAGCACGGCGATGATGATGGTAACTGTATGTGCCGTACGCGTGAATGCAACAATCCACAACCACAAAATGGCGGACGCAGCTGTGATGGCATCACCACGGAGGTAACAAACTGCACGGTGCATGGTGATTGGACCAACTGGTCGGAGTGGTCTGCATGCTCACAAACTTGTGGTATAGCAGTGAAAACACGTCGACGCACGTGCGGCAATCCAAAACCAGCGCACGGTGGACGCACCTGTGTCGGTGATGATCATCAAGAAATGTATTGCCGCCATTTGCCACCTTGTCCCACGCCCAAACTGCAAGCCATCGACGGTGGTTGGGGTCCATGGGGTGTGTGGAGCGAATGCAGCACACAATGCGGTGGCGGTTTTCGCATACGGCGCCGTGAATGCAACGACCCGATGCCACAGAACGATGGACAGGAGTGTCCTGGCTGCGCTATCGACTATGAAGTCTGCAATGTGCATGCCTGTCCCGAAGTGAAGAAGCTGAGTTCGTGGACACCTTGGTTGGTGGAATACAATGACAGCCGCAAAAGCGCCGAARCAAGTGGCACATTTGTTGAGCGCCGCTTTAGATATGCATGTCGTGGCAGYAGCACAGATGTGAATAGTTTGCGCATAACGCTGGCTAAGGAAGAGACGCGCACTTGTCATGCGGATGGTAGTTGTCAGCGTCATCATGAAGTTTATGGCGCAATGGTAGCGTCAGCGGGCTCGCCTACAGTATCCGAGGAACGTGAAGAGCATAGTGAATGGGGTCCTTGCAGCGCCAGCTGTGGCGGCGGCATGCAATATCGTTTGCACGATGGCACCAGCAGTGGCAAGCATCGTGGACGTCATGCCACACAGGCGCGCGTCTGTAATATACAAGCGTGTGAAGAAGCGGCGGTGGTGCCAGCGACGAACCTCAATGAAGTGGTGCAGACGCATGAATGGAGTTGCTGGACGGATTGGTCGCCTTGTTCGGTTACATGCGGCATGGGTTTAAGACGACGTACGCGTCGCTGCTTAGGCGGACACGATAAACTGTGCAGCGGCAAAGCAATCGAGGAGGAAAAGTGCGCCATGGCGCCTTGTACTGGTAAGTGCAACACTGTTATTAATTTAGTTTTTCCTAGTAGTTTGATAAACTTTCTATTGCTTACAGACTTTATTGGCTGGAGCACGTGGAGTCCGTGGTCGGAATGCTCAAGTGAGGGCATACGCATCAGGCATCGTAAGTGTATGGTGGATGTACCAACATCGGCCGAGTGCCGTGGTGCGGAATTCGAGAAGACCGCTTGTGTGCCGAGCGAATATGAAGGTGTGTTTCAACAAAAAAAAAAAAAAGTAGAGCAGGTTAACCAGCTTCTACTTAATAAAATAATTCTTTAAAATGTGCTTTAAAAATTGCCCTTCCAAAATTACTCATAAATCGCTCATGTTTTAATTACACTTCTGTTTCTCTTGCAGCCTTACGCCTTAGCTCCAGCACCTCCTGGCCCTGGATCATGTTGCTCTGTTCCATAATCTACGTCATCACCATAATCGCCACATTCTATCTGACCAAGCGTTTTATAAAACCCGTCGATTTGGCGTTGAATAAGAATAACACGCCGGCAGCGCCCAGCTAYGATTCCTATGCCAATCAGTATTCCAGCCTACCCACAAAGGATGTAAGTTACCACACATATGCCCAAATCAAACACAACAAATATAATTTCTAAATATCAGCAGTCTCTAAATTTGCAGATCTACGAGGTGCGCCCGAAAGTAAAGCGGCAGTCCAGTTTCAATATGTGCTCACCATCGCCGTCGAAGAGCTGCAACACTGGCACGCTGACGCGCAACAATATGGCGCACAATCACACGCCCAAAGTGCTGGCGAAGACCTACAATGACTGCGAGACGGGCACATTGAAGCGGAACTCKCATCAGCTGAACAACTATCGCTCGAATATCGACGATGAGAAGTTCTAGTGGTGACACGCGGAACTTGCTTGGAGCGTGAAGAAGCAGCAGTTGCAAATACATGCGCGCGCTGTTGCCCGGTGTGCTTGCTCTGGAGCCTGGTAAGCTTGTGTGCCTTTCATATGTTAAGTAAACTCGTACCTTTGGTCGCTCAAATGTGCTCTCCGCTGCCTGGCAGCTAATTAAGACGTGTCTTAAGCTACACATGCATTTGTATGTGCTTTAATTATATAACTAATGTAGTTCTTGTGAACATGAGACTCATCGTGGAACATTGCATAGTATCATTTTGCGTGCCATCAGAGCGCTAAGTCTGCCACAAAACAGTAAGGGATAGTAATTCAAGTAGCATATTCAACTCGAATATGTTGATTAGAACATTGATCTACAGTAAAGTAATATATATTTTTTACAATTGTTGTTGTAAGTGCTTTGCTAAATTCAATTTCGTGCAGTGAAGTGCATTTAGCGTAGCGGTTAAGCCAGTATTGACTCATATTGAGTGTCTATATTTTTCTAATTAGCATAAAATTAATTATGTGTATGTGTATGTATTTATCAAGTGGTTAAGCTGTCAGTTTTAAGTACGTTCAATTCAACTCTTTCTTGCAACGCAACGAAATTGTCAAGGAAACAGTTTTAGCTGCAAACTTCGATTTTTTTTAATTTTTTTTTATATTTGGAAATTTCAGTACAAAATATTGAAAAAATTTCAATAACTAGTTATTTAAATTTTAGTACAAAATATCAAATAATTTATTTATGAATGCCTTTGTTCATTACAATTGTTATGTGTTATTTCATTTCTATTTATTTGAGTATTATTTCTCTRCCAAAAAAAAATATTTTAACAAAAAAATTATTTATGATTTTATAAAATTTATAAGTTATTTCCTTTTTAAGTCTAAAGCCTGATGTTCAGTTATTCTTTTTTTTTATTTATTACCCATCTTTTTCACATAATTGGTAAACATTTTGTTTCTTAAATTTCTAAAACTTTTTTAATATTCATGTTTTCGTATCTTTTCGCGTGTTCTTTCTATTATTTTTTCCACTAAATTGTTAACATTCAATGTATAACCATATTAATAAATTTATAACTCTTCAACTCTAACTCTCTTTTAAATACTTTATTTTCAATGTTTAGCAAAAAAATAGTAAAAGTATGTTTGTACGTCAAAAAATTATGATAATTGATCAAAACAGCAGCTGAAATTGTTGACTAAATTTAAGTATAGTATATATTACAGTTATTTTATTTAAAAAATCTGTAAATAATTGTATTATCATATAATTTGTTTAATTAATTTACTTTAAGTTAAATTAAAAAAATATGTAATAAAAATATTTTAATGTCACTAACAGAAATACATATGTATGCATGTGTTTTATTTATTCGCAAACTACGCAATTTATAAAAAAAAGAAATTATTAAAAAACTTTTTTCAAAAACATTAATTTAAAAAGAAAATTTATGAAAAAGATTATAAAAAATTGTATTAAAAAAAATTTATTATAA